GGCTTTCCTGTTTTTTTTTTTTATTTTGGGAAGAAAGTTCATAAAATGCCCCTCCTCCACAGAAAAGGAGAGTCCGGGAAATATTTAGCAAAGAATTCAGGGGGTTGGGGGAGGACCGACTGGGGTTTTTCGGGTTCCCCGATCGCCTTTATTCCCCCGGGGTGAGGCAAGAAGGACGGGGGGAAAAAGGGCATGGGCAAATTAAACCCCAAAATGGAAGGGGTCGCCCCGGGGGGGGGGGAAAAGGGGGGTTGTATCCAAGGCCGACCCGACGGGGGTAAAACAGGGGATTTTCCGTCCAGGAAAAAGGGAATTTTCCTTTTTGGGGGTTTTTTTTTGGGGAGGGGGGGGTTTGTGTGTTTTTGGGGTTTCCGGGCGGGGGTTACGTTTCCCTGGGGGAACCCCCGATTCCCCCGTACCCCCCCCCCTCCAAAAAACCCCCGGCCCGGCCCCCCCCCCCCCCCCTCTTGCACAGCGCGGGGCCCCTTCTCCCCCTCCCGTGGTCGAAACCGAAGGACACTCCACCGCGACCGGACTCCCCAACCGGCAACGTCAATGTCAAAACCTTGCGGAACGACAGCAGGAGCAGTGGCAGGCCAGGGTCGCCGTTTCGAGCGGCAACAAGAGGCGATAGGGATAGGAGGGGCATCATGGGTAGGGGAGACACCGCTGCCGCAGCCGCCACCGCAGCTGCAGCTGCAGCCGGTTCGGCTTCGGCGGCCGCCTCTCAGTCCGGGTCTCGAGAGGAGACCGAGCGTAGACGGAGATGGGCGGGGACAGGGGGGCCCGCGGTGGCGGATAGCAGAGGGGGGGAGGGGGGCGGAGCACCGGGCCCCTCGAATGTGACACCGCGATGAGATAGATGAGCCATACGTACCGGGGGGCGATGTGTGGTTGACGACAAAGTTTCGCAGCTATGCTCACGACATTCGGTATGTTAAATCGATTAGTTGCGTTTCGTTTTGGACAAAGTTTGGGAGAAGAAGGTCTTGGATGGGTATCGGTGTTCTTTATGATAAATTGAGATTGTTTTAAAGACTCTTGTGAAACGGCTTTTGTTGAGTTTTTTCCTTGTTTTTGTGCATTAATGTCTTTTTCTTCCCACCCCTCGAAATAGGAGGAGGGTGCGTTTTTTTTTTTTCTTCTGTGTGGCCCCGCGCGTGGTGTTACTTACTGATAGCTGGTGGTGCAGCGTGGCCACGGCCCCGCTTTTTTCAGGAACAACAGAATAAAACAGACACGTGTCCCTCGTTATGTAGCTCCGTGGCTTCTTGAGGACACCAAGCTTGCAGCCCCGGGGGGCGTGATTCCCCACGACGCGTAAGCAACGCTGGAGTCCTTTTGTACAGAGATTTTCGGTGATCCCAAGCCCCATCAGTTCGAGCGGATATATACATGCATACACGTGTAGTCGTTTGGCGGGTTGGGAAGTGGGAGGTACGTGGGCTAGGAGTGAGACGGAGTTGGCACAACAGTTACGGTGCTCCTTGTCTCTCTCTGCTTAGCCAACAGAAGGGCTTTATATCCCGGAAAAGTGGATACAACAGAAGTGTCCGCGAACCGCACCTCTCCCGCTCCACTTTCCCGGCAACGACCATTGTATCCGCGTGTGCCAAGAGCCGCGCGCGTTCGCGGCTATTTAGAGGCGGGGCTTGACAACGATGCCAACTTAGTTACTTGTTTGTTTTTTGCGCTTGCATGCATTTCGGGCGTTTCGCAAGGTTTACGTCTTCCCGGATTGGGGTATCCCTAAGTGTAGCGGTTCGTTACGCGAGGCCGGCACACGGCGGTGGTAGAAACAAGATATTTACCGCAGGTGGTATGCTTGATCTCTGGTTGATAGGTGCTTTGCGAGCGGGTCCAAACGTGACTCACCCGGTCGACCGGTGTGATGCTATGCCTGTAATTGCTGGAGACCCCTTTGAGGGGGGGGGTTGAGTTTAAGCTTTTGTTGCGACTGTTTTTTTTTTTTTTTTAATGATGGGAGACGAACCAAGGCGACGTGGTATCTACCCGCACTCAAGCCGCAACTGCACCCACTATCCCCCAGTGCAGGTCGCTCCCTATGAACCACGTGTCTCCTTTCTAGGGACAATGCTTTGGGCATGAACGCATGCATGTGCCTATTTTCTTGCCCGCAGCTCTCACTCGGCACCTCGCAGCTCGGCGGTAATGTTAGTTTTGCCTCGGAAAGCCGTTGCCGCCGCCAGCAGATACCACACGAAGCCCGCGTTGATGCGCGCTTTTGCAGAACCTATACCGCAGTGCATGCGTACGGGCCAAGCGCATGGAACCTCCTATTTCGCGCAATCCTGCGGGTGGGTCCTACCAGCTACCACTACATCCAGGTGACGTAGTGTTAGGATCGGGTTTCAAGGTTCGCGTGTGTCGGCGAAATGGAACCCTCCTGTCCTTGATTAACGGCCATGTTCCAAAAGCGCGGGTGCTTCCATGTACGCCACAGAGGCCGGCAGCATTGCAGTCCCGCATGATGACCACTCCTGCCGGCAATTCATTCTCTCGCTCGCACCCCCCACACCGAGCGGGAACCCTTCTACTCTACGGATTCATATCAACGCGTTGTTTGTACTTGTTGCTTGCCTCGGTCCAGCGATGCCCACAGCCTTGGTGCCGTCCGCATCAAGCCACACACACGGGCTCTGCACTTTCGCTGTTACGCCAGAAAACCTTGCCAAAGTATATACAAATTGGACGCACTCGGACGGGGGCAAGAGCGCCACGACACTAAATCGAACGGCACACGACCACAAAATCGTCCACCAATAATTGCTGTGGCGAGTCTCATCATCTCGCCTCTAAACAGCACCTTAATAAACAAACCACCACAGAGAAGCTCGGCCGGCCACCACAGGAACGATCTACGAGATCTACGAATGCCAAACCGATCGCCCACAACTATTAGTTGCATTCCTGACCTTCGCTGGGTAAAATGAGAGAAACACACAGCAGCCTGGGATAACATTTGCCGTATGTATTCGGCATCCGTTCCCTTGAGCGAGGGAGGCCAACACCAAGATCCTCCGCTCCGCCCCGAGACCTAAATGTATCCCGTGCAACGAGTGACGGTCCTTTCGTCCGCTGCTCTATTTTGAGGCCGCCCTCTCTCCAAGTCTGTCTGTCTGAGACTTGGGACCACGATTCCCGTGCCGCCAAGTCGTCTCCATGCCGTTCGACTGGTCATCTTATCGGGCAGAAAGCCGTGGTGCTCAAGAATCGGGGGGTTACGATCCGGCAGCCGCGTCAAGCAGCCAGCCACGAGCCCCCTTTCCCGATCCCTTCCCTGCGTCACGCCGTCATCCAGTCGTGCTTCGTGAGCTTCACCGAGACCTGGCCCTGCATCCTCGAACCGGGAGATGATGCCTCCGGTTCGCCGGCCGCTTCCAAACCGTCCAGAGCGAGACTCTCCATCAGCGCCGCGCTGCGGTGCCGACGGCGCGAAACGTATTTAGTACACCAAAAACGCCAACTACCAGTAAATGCGCAAGAAAGGGTGAATGTTATACGAAGTATGTGTTCAAGCCACAAAAAAATGGTGCACCGACCAAAGGTTGGTCGTAGAATAGATGTAGCCACGAGTCATCTCACAACACCCTATGGTCTCCTTGTTACCATGGATGCCGGATGGCGTCCACAACCGTAATTTTCCAGCAGCGAGCGATCAAGCTTGTGTCTGCACATGCCACCACACATTTCGTTCCGCACGATAGTAGTGCAGCAGCAGCAGCAGCATGCATGCATGCATGCGAGGTGCCGATTTCGAGCGGGGCCCTTCGGCTGGCCCTCCGAGCTACAGTTAAGTACCGCCGCTTGAAAAACCCGGCCAGGCAGACAAGTGTAAGCCGTCGAGAACAATCACCTGTTGCTCAGCACAGCTTCCTTCGACGGCGTCTCATCGAACTCCCGCAATGCCACAACCTCCCCTCCCTGCCGCAACAGAAACGGACCACACGACCCCCGGAGAGTGCGCATCATGGGTGGGACGGGGGGGGGGGTACTCATGATTTACATGCCTTAGTTGATAAGACATTTGACCATGCGTCCTCGAGAGGAGCATCATGGGCGGGGTTTTGGACGGGCTACGAGGAATCGAGGCGAAGGGGGCAGCGTGTCGTACTGCAGACAGACCATATCGATCCGCGAGATAAAATGAATCAAGAAGCGCGGGACGGAAAAAGATAAGGGCAAGCAATCAAAAACACAACACTGTTGGGCAAGAGGAGCAACGTCGACAAGAGAAAATTCGCCGATGGAGGCCAGGCTCCCGAGGAGGGGGGCGAGCAAGCTACCCAAGCGACAGACGACAGAGAAGCAGCAGCGGTGGCGCGGCTGTACCTCTTCACGCCGAACTTCGTAGTCCTTAGCTCGCCGCAGCAGCAGCCCCCCCGTCGCCGCCCCTGCCGGGCTAGGGAGCACCTGCCCCACGAAATCCCTCACCCCGTCGAGAGCGCTCACCGCCTGGTACTGCCCTGGGTTAAGCAACGTCGCGATGTGGATGTGTTGGTCCGAAAATGGGGCCTGGGTGGTGAGATGACGCGGGGTATGCCTCAGGCCGACAACTTACGGGGGCGCCCTCCACGAGATAACACCCAAGACGCGCGCACGTGCGTGCGCGTGTGGCACACGTCGATCTGTGGGCTACAACAACAACGACGACCTGCTGACAGCCTCCAAGAACAGCGGTGGGCGCATGCTGCAGCAGCCGTCGGGGTGGGGCGACCCGCCCCCCGTGCCAACCCGGAACAAAAGCCGGGACATGACATCGATAGGGTAGAGAGGATAGGGAAATTGTAGATAGGATAGGGAAATTGTTGTTGAGCCACCTGTCGCAACGCAGGAAGGAACGATTGGCCATTGGTGATCGGTCCAACGCTCCGTCCTCTCGAGGGACGACGCGTGGTCAACGGTCTAACCGCTAAGCCATGCAAAATATGAGTACTTTTAGGGTTGTCCGGTCGAGGGCGCATGGCCAATGGTCTAACAGCTACGGCATGAAAAACATGACTACTCCCCTTCCCCCAAGGCGCTTTTTGTCCTTTCTCTCTCTCTCTCTCTCTCTCTCTCTCTCTCTCTCTCTCTCTCTCTCTTCGCACCTTTGACCAGGTTGATGCTGTCCCAGTAGTCCACCTGCTTGATCACTCTCGCCTCGTCGTCTATCGTGTACTCGCTGATGCCTGTGAAGCGCGGCACCGGCTGCCAGGGCAACGCCTTGAAACACACGGTCAGCGTCCATCTCGTCCTGAAACAAGCAAGAATAGTCAAGCCAAGCAGTTTTGACCCGCTAAGCACCGAGCATGTTCGGGGTGAGATCATCTCGCCCAATAGGCACGAGGCATGTCGCGCCCGCTGGAATCTTCCGGCATAAGGCAACGACCTCCGCTTCGAGTAACTCTTGTTGAGGAGGTTCATCTCACCTCAAGCGAAACGGGCCAGGCTCTTCGATGTCGTGCAAAATGATGCCCGCGTCCTAAGGGCCAAACACGCGAAAAGCACATCCATCCACACCAATAACAGGGAGGAAGGAGAGGCGAATGTTTTGGGGTGGCTCAGGAGGAGAGAGGGAGAAGAAAGGGTAGACATTGCTCGTGGCCGTTGGAATTCTGCCCCCAAGACACACGTTAGTTCGGTCTTGTTGTATCTAAACTGTGTTGGACAACGGCTACGTCGGGGGGTAAATCGGTAAGCCTTTCAGTCGTGGCTGCGCTTCCTTCGAATTCATGATTGCAAGCTTCGAGGCGGAAGGGTACACCCCCTCCCACCTCCGCATCCCTGTGCAACCACCGTTCCATCAGCACCGAACATTCAACTTTCTTGCAAAATATACGAACGCTGGAAGACTACCTGTTCGAGAGAATACCACAGCAGTCGAAGGGGATGTGCTGTAAAAATCTTGATATTTGCAGTGAGTATGGAGGTTCAGGGAGCATAGATACACGTACATAAAAGAGTAGGATCTGAGGGGAATATGTGATAATAGATTACCGTTCCCCGAGGGCCCACGACTCTTGCGATTCCCAACGGCTGCGAAGAGTTGATGAATCTTTAGGAGAATGGGAAAAGGGTCCACGAAGGCTCGCCCACTCTCCGCACCACCCTAGCTTGACTGAGTTCGCTCGGTCACGCTTGGCATTCCTCGCCACATCGCACCAAAGGAAATAGCCAACCTCCGGTGGTAGGACATGGCCACCACACTCCCGGACTCTCCGGTCACCCAGAGTAGAGGGGTCCTTATGAGTGGGCGAAGAAACGAAAACTTTCAACTTTCGCAAAAAAACGCCTACAAGCAGAGTGTCTATTGCTGTTGTACCCACTCCGTATCACACAGGTGCTTGTACATGGAATAAACCGAACCATACAACGAGTATACTGCTGTACCCACCGACCACCACGCGAGAGCTTACTGTACCTTGAAGAGGATGTTCCCCAGAGCAGACCGGCCTCCAAGCATGTCGAGGTTCTTCTTGTAGTTGTCGAAGCCCGTGAAGCTGGTCACCGGGTCGATGAACTGCACGTCCGGGAGGTAGCGCTCGCTCTCGAAGTTGTCGAAGAAGGAAGCGTACTCGTCCCGGAGGTCCTGTCGCATCCCATCGTCCCATCATTTCGGGGTTGTTGTCATGTTGTTGTTGTTGTTGTTGTTGTTGTTGTTGTTGTTGTTATTGATGTTGTTGTCCTCACATTCAAAAACCGTTCTGATTGTCTCTGCACGGTACCGGCAGCGGTTGTGAAAACCGGCCCAGGCAGAGGAGGTGCCCAACAAAAACCGGAACCGTCGTTATAGCAGGTGCAAAACTAATCGAACAACGCACATCAGGTGGATGGAAGTGGAAGACCGACAACAGGTTCAGTGCTGCTGCGGTGACGCTCTCTCTGTTAACTTTAATTAATTTCATTCCTTCGTATTCATGCGGAACAATCGAAGCAGCACCATTCGTCAACCGTCACAATCACTCGCAGTTTCTACCTGACATGCGGGGTTCTTTGCAGACCTCTCCGACCCGGCGGGGACATGCACATGGAATGATCCCTCTGCCAGGTGCATGTATTCTTCTCCTACAAGGTATACATAGCTAGAATGGTCAACAACGGCCCTTTTTCTCGGGGAGGTCACGTGTTCGGGAGCGGAAATGCCAATCGGTGCCGAGGATGCTGTTGTACACAGAGAAGTCACCGGCAGCGGCGTGACCCCGTACGGATGCACTCGGCAAGTGTACGCATACATTGTAGTTACGGCGCGGGGATACCTGCGCACATGCATTGCGTCACACACACACGCGGGGCCGGCGTAAAGACAGTAGGTAGTTCACCTGCTTCAGCGCCTCTTTGTTCTCCAGGTAGTCCGCGCTCTCCATCGCTGCCGGCGTGGTTGTGGCACTCAAGCAGACGGCCTGACCTCGTGCAAACAAGCTACCTGCTGTCCGTGTGCATGCTCCACGGGACAGCCCCTGCTGTAGCGCAGCAGGCGAAAAAGAAGAGAAGGACTCCACACTAACAGATCGTCCCCATGCTCCTATGAGAGTAGCGAGCAGCTGAGCAGAGACGCCCATGAGCCCAGCACTCGACCTAACGGCAACTGCCTGTTGTTGTACTGACTCATGTTCGCAATGATGTTCGATAAAAGGGGCATCATAGAGTGCACTACAATACTAAACGACGAAAATCAGGGAGGGATGGGTGGAAAGCGAGGTGCGAAGTCCCCATTTTTCTGCGATGGTTGGGGGGCAGCAGCACGAGTATCCCAACATTGGATTTGGCTCAGCTGTCAGTCTCGTGGGTGTGAGCGTGCTTGAGAGAGGGAGAAAAAGAAACAAACAGAACGCTAGCCGGTATCTCAGGCGTTGTTGCCCAAACAGCCCCCGCGCGGAGCTCTCTTTGTAGTCCAGCGTTCGAATCAAGCGCACACTTTTGTGGTACAAGTAAGGCGTCCACGGAAACCGAGAGCTCTCATCAACACGCCGACAGCGGCAAGCAGCACACACCACACAGCGGCGCTTTATTGCCCCGCCGCGCAGCACCATGCTCTCGGGAATGAGAGTGACAAAGGTTGGGAGTACCACCCTCCGAAGAAGCGCTGGCGTTGTTAGACCAAGGCATGCTGCTGCCGCCGCTGCCGGCGAATTGCACTCGTCGCAGCCAACACCGCTACTGCTGGCGGCGACAGCAGGCGCAACAACAACACCAACAACAACCCGACGAGCATTCTCGGCGGCGCGCGCGGCTTTGCCGAAAGCGTCGGAGCTTCCGTCGTACGTGCTGAACTGCCCGGAGACGCAGGTCACGACTCTCCCCAACGGGCTGAGGGTAGCATCCGAGGTACGTCCACCTCGCGCTGCTGTGGAGTATGATGTCGCGATTTACGCACATATTGTAATTGCGCCGCACCCAGTGTATGCAAACATGCATACAACGTCTGGGTAGTCTTTCTGTGTGTGTATTAATTTTTCCTTGATGCATACAACGTCCAAACGTCCTCCGGGAACTCCTCAACTCCTTCGTAGAGAACGTCTTGCTGTTACGAAAGCAGGGCTGTTACGAAAGCAGGGCGACAGGGCTGTTGATGTGTCCTCTTTACGCACGTGTGGTAGTGTTTTGAAACGCGATGGGTAACTACCTGACGTTCATTTCAGCTCTCGAAAGCCGCGCAGTGAAAATGTGACGCACAGCAGACGTTCATTTCAGGACCCGTCGAAAGGCGCGCAATGTCTCAGTATGTCGCGCGTGCGATGACGACTAACTTCAACACAGCTGGGCGAACTGCAACAAAGCGCAAGCCTCAGCATATATATAGCTTTCTCTTCTTGCCTCTGTCGCCACAAATCATGGCCTCGCACATCACCAATAACGGACGCAAGGTTTAGTTTTAGTAAACCCCCTGTTCTCCGGCGTACAGCAGTCGAGGTTTGCCACGTTACTACTGCTGTTGAGGGCCGAGGTATTCGATACGCGCAATGGCAGTTTTTTTCAGCGATAGATACACATGTGTGCACCTCTGTCACCACGAGACGCTTCATTTGCTGAATAAACCCCAGAGACCACAACGGCGCTTTTGAAACACAACAAATGAATTGCCCGCGCACATTTTTTCCACAGACTAGCCATGGGGCGACCGCATCTGTGGGCGTGTGGATCGATGCCGGCAGCCGGTACGAGACGCTGGAGAACAACGGGGTGGCCCACTTCCTGGAGCACGTGGCCTTCAAGGGCACCCGCAAGCGCACGCAGACGCAGCTCGAGACGGAGATCGAGGACATGGGGGCGCACCTCAACGCCTACACCTCAAGGTGGGATAATCAGCAGTGTATGTGTCGCCCGCGTACCGTGCCGGCACCGCTGCTGCTGCTACTGCTACTGCTGCTGCTGCTGCTGCTGCTGCTGCTGTCGCTGCGGGTGTTGACACCGAGCGTATTCGTGTTCACTTCTTCCAGTGTTGGTTAGGTCCAGGTTCTGGAGCGGGGGTGCCTCGTTTTGCCCGGGCGGGGAAGGCTCGACATGTCTCATCTCGTGTTTCCTATGATACCAAGAAGACCCATGGCTTTAGGTGCCGCCGTGCAGCCGGGCATGGCCCGTTACGCCCCCCACCTCCCCGCCGTCTTCGCTTGGAGGACGGTGTTCGGCACAGAGCTCAGATGATAATTTCACTGCCTTCTGGACCTTGATGTGTGCAGCCGCTCAGCGTGCGAGTGGTGACTGTCGCTTGTACTCAATGCCGTCACATTTTATACCGGCATTCCTTCGGGTAAGCTTGATGCGGGTAAGCTTAATGAGCGAAATTGTCAGTCGCCTACTTTAACGTCGTGGAGATACAATGTACGCGCAATATATTTCACGGTCACGCATGTACCCCCTCTAACTGAGGGCCAAAAATGTTTTCTCCTTCTCGACGTTTTTACACCATATCAGATACGCCTATGTCCCGTCCCGCATCAGAGCAGTGTTGCGGTTGCCCGTCGCCCCCGGGTTATACCGTGGGCCGGGCGAACTCTTCCACCTTTCCTTGGAGATGACGCGACTTTTTCTTTTTTGGAAAATATACATACAGCCAAAGAGACACTATTTGTCCTTTCGAGATAGTCTATTTAATACCACAGCAGTCGAAGGGTATTGTGTTGAAGTCTTATTCTTTACAACAGTGAGTGGAGTGGGAAGAAAACCGGCTAAAGAGATACGTGGGCTTGTTTAGAGTCTATTCAAGCCTATACCCTGCTGAACCTGATCTTTTATCAGTGATGCCAGCAGATGCTAATGACAAAAAGGCACTCCGTAGGTATATTAGGTTCTCAAGAAAGTATTTGCCTGCAGGCAAATATTAATATATTTTTCGAAACCCCTCCCTGACTTGCCGCCGACCGACCGGCCGCTTGCTTCCCACAGGGAACAAACGGTGTACTACGCTAAGGTGTTTAAGGAGGATCTGGGGCGCGGGCTCGAAATCTTGAGCGACATCTTGATGAACAGCCTGATCGACGAGGGCGCCGTGCACAGAGAGAGGGACGTCATCCTCCGGGAGATGGAGGAGGTTAACAAGCAGCAGGAAGAGGTGAGCCTGTGAAGGTCTGACACGGCAGCGGTGTAACGCGCGCGAGCACGGGTGTTCGTCTGTTGAGTCTGGTTCTGTACCGAGGTGCGATCGCCTGTGCCCGGGGGCAACGCAAGTAATTTATACGTGCGGCTTGCTGTACACTTTTGGTCTGTGTGGCGCACAAGGAGAAAGATAGGTCGCGGCCTGCCCCAAGCGTGTGCTTTCCGAATATCCAGGTGATACTGGACGACAAGCGCGTTATAGTTATAAATCACCCCTCCTCCTTGTGTGTTTGTTTTCGTGACAAACATCGCCCCTCCCCCCCCTCCCACTGTTAAAATGGGCAAGCTCCCTCGAGGCAGTTACACAGTGCTTACAACTGTCTCTGGAAGTGAAAGCACCAGAAAATAAATTAAGTCATACGTAGCTGTCATCCGTACGCAAGGAAGTAAGCACAAGATGCCGAACACCCTTAGCAGGATGCAGCTCACCCTTCATGCGACTCGCCAAATACCTCACGGCGCTTCGCGCTTGGTGATGTGAGAGCCTGGTCCGGTGAGAACCCGGCGTGCTCCGTCCCGGCTTTGTAGGGATGCGAGGTCAATGGTCAAACGACTACGGCATGCACGACTATGAGTACACCCCCCCCCCCTCCCACTCCCAACTTGTTCAGGTGATCCTGGACAATCTGCACGAGGTCTGCTTCGAGAAGTGCGGCCTCGGTCGCACGATCCTAGGCCCCGCAGAGAACATCCGCAGCCTCAGCAAGCAGCAGCTGCACGACTACATCACGACGCACTACACGGCGCCTCGCATGGTGGTGGTCGGAGCCGGAGCCCTGGAGCACGAGGAGCTGGTCGAGATGGCCGACCGGTGCTTCGGTAATCTTCCGCGGGATCCCCCGCAGGGGTCCATCGTGACGGTGGGTGCTGGCGAAGGGGAGGTTGTGTCGCTCTTTTTTTTTTTTCAAGAAAATATGCCTACAATCACAGGAAGAAGATTTGTAGAAAATGTGCATATATACGATCACAGGAAGACTTTGTTGACTTTTTGAAGACATACGTACAACCACAGAAAGACTAAGACTACCCGTTCGAGATACATGTACCACCAGAAGGGGATTGGGTGTGCTGCAAGTCTTTGGAGTAAGTGGGCGAAAACCGGCTGGATACTGGGCTTTTTTTTTTAGTCTTATTTGTACACAGTTTCTTTTTGCTGCTTCATGTTTCGATGGCTGAAGCGAGAGAGAATGCACTGCTGGTGTTTTGTTTTCGGAACCTTGTCGCCATCCCCGGTGTCCAGCTAAACTAGGTGTTTCGCGTATTCCTTTCCCTGCCGTCCCGCTCTATTTGGCGGAGTACCATATTCTGCTGGCCATGTTGACCCATCCGCCATGTTCGCTTGGAAATAAAGCTCTTGCCGACGTATCCGTGATCAGGCCGTCCATGTACCCCCATGCAACGATGCACGGCCCCTGTCCCGAATTGATCCCCGAAACCAGCCCGACCCTCAGGTTATCTCTCAGCCCGTCTGTGACTACCAGTAGTGGGGCCCTCTGTTAGGTGCGCACCTATCTCTCCGTCTCCTATCATACGTACCCCGACTTTGACGTCGTCGCCTACCCCCAAGCCCTGTGGCCCTACGATTCACTTTTGAACACCCCCTTCCCGTCAATGGCCTATGTGACAACTAAGGCGTGAAAAAACATGAGTACGCGGCCCCCCGGGCGGTAGCGGCCCGGGGTATTTTGGTATTCTGGGGTGTAACCAGCGGGCCAACCAGGCGAGAAGCGTGAAACAGACAGGATAGGGAAAACGTTTCTGAGCCGACTTTTGTCAAAAGTAACAAGGAACGATTTGGCCATCGGCGATCGGTTCAGGTTCCGTCCTCTCGAGGGACGACGCGTGGCCGATGGTCTTAGCAGCTGCTCATCATGTACGCTGATCACGAGTACTCCCCCCCCCCCCCCAACCCCCCCCCCCCCCTCCCCCACCGAGGACACAAGAGAAAGGAGAAACGGGGATGTTTTTGCGCCCCCGCCCCCCGCGAGCAGCCAGAGCCCGCAGGATTTTCCCGGAAGACGAAAAAGGGGGGGTAAAAAGCAAGGAGTGGTAAAAAAAACAGGGCCCCGGCTTCCAGGGAACCCCCCGGAACGAAAAGAAAGCCCTCCCGCTCAAAAAAAAGAAAAAAAAAAAGGGGGGGGGGGAACCCAAAAACGGGGAACAAAAAGAAAAACTCCGCAAAAAAAAAAAAAAAAAAGCAAAGGCCCCCCCCGCGCCCAAAACCAAGGGCAAAAAGGGGGGGCCCCCAAAAAGCCGGGAAATAATTGCCCACCAACCCGCCATAAAAGGGGAAAACGGGCCCATTTGGGGGGGGAAAAAAAAAA